GCATGTTGTTGGTTCTAGATTATAAGCGACCAAATGTTGCCTGCTTATGGCCCACCAGTGGCCCCGCAAACAGGTCCAAGCGAGAGTAGTTCCAGGTTTTGAATGTTACAGCGGACACAATATCACATTTTCTTTGGTAGTGGTGTTGAACAACTTACAGTAAGCCCTAGAATAACTTTTTCTTTTGAAGGAGTGCGGCTATTGACGCGCTGCCTAGGTTAATACCTAAAGGAGGCCTGGTTCACGAAGATCTTACTGTATTGTCAGAGTTGCCATATGGTCCTCTAGGATTTCGTGAAATGCAAAGGACGTTTGTGATCTGCTCTAGGATATGTTCCAACATTGCTTGACCACCTTTGCTAGAAACAAGCATTGCGGGTGACCGACTACGCTAGCATCTACAATTGGCTGCAAATCCCTGAAGTGGATTTGAGCCAATCTAGAGCTCTCAGGGGACCTGGAGGAGATCCTCCAGGAGCGGCGCGACGTTACCATGTACTGATACATCGAGAAACAAGACTTCTGCTACATCCTGGCCAACTAAACATGCATAGTCTACCGAATTTGACTGTGACAGTCCTCCGGAAGAGACGCAATCCTAAATATCAAGTGTTACCGCTCGTCTGTCATCAATCATTAGGTATACACCAATAAATTGAGACTCGGATAGCTGTGATCCCTAAACAGCGGATCGTTACAGTCTGCGACAAAATGGCGACAAAGACGATGTTTTCGTACACATTCTTCGGAATTGCGCTGTTCCTCGTATCTCTGTATATTGGCCCTCTTCTGACTCCCAGTGTTGGTCGGTTGAGTCTTACTGCAAGAGACTTTCTCGAGTTTTCTCTTTCCGCGGATAGCGACAGTTACGCCAATTTGACCAAACGGCTTACAACTGATCAGTACAGCCATGCCGTAGATGCAGGCAACAGACTTCATTGCTTACTCGGCATGACCCAACAACAGGCCGCTACACGTAATGGTGGCACTTCGCTGGAGTCGTCACTCCAAGAAAACTATATGGAGCTTGAGGGCTGGAGAGAGTTCGAGGATGCAAACGCTCCGTATTTTGGTAGCTATCTCGATGCAGCGTTCAGCGGCCTCGGTATCACAAAGAATGTGAAGACACAGAACTGGATAAATTCGGCGGGAGGCATGATCTTCGATGATCTAGAGAATCTAGAGGGGGAACAACAGGGATTTGTATGTTCAAACGTTGATCAAAAAGCTTTCGAAAGTCCTTGCTAATTGCCTGGTGTTTCTTCATTTAGCCAACACAAGCAGTTTTTATGAATGACTTTATAGTAGATGCTGGCGTAGTCATTGCAGATAAGAACAAGAACGTCAATGCTGCAATGTCTGAGCAGTACGGAAGTGGTTGGCGAGATCTGGGTATGGTCGTGACGCATGTTCAGCAATGGTCAGATGGGGCCTTTATGGAGTGGGAGAATGCCTGCTCACTGGCTGGAGGCAGTGTGAGCAACGTGAAGTACATTTTCCGTTCGTGGATAACCAACCAGTTGACTCAAGAGCTCGTATTCCAGGCGCTACGAAATGCCTATGGGGGTAGTCCAACCATTGGAGTTTGGGCAAATCGCCTTACGGTTACTGAAAGCGCCAATCCCACGGAGTTTCACGCCGTCCTGGGCAGTCCGAATGGCGCTGGGTCAGCGTATTTTCTCCTCACGCATAAAGGAAAGCTGGGTATCAAGACCGTTAATAAAGTGGATGTATTCGTCCCGACGATTCCATTCACTGTAACTGGCACAACAGGTGGCGGGATCGCCAATACGGCTAAGATCATGTTACTGTTTTATGTGGACTCGCCGTAGGGAAGTGATATCAGAATAGACAAGTCTCCCCGGGGGCTCTTGGGCATATAGGTTCCGCATGCCAGCTTTGTGGGAACCATTTCCAAGTTACTTTAGACTTTGTTATCTATCTGTGCAGTCAGAGTATCAAGGAATGGTTCGTAGCATTGCCAGTCTTGCTTCAGATTCAGCAATCTGTTGCGGTGAGAGGAGGCTCCTCCAGGTCAGGGCGTAATGCGAGGGTAAATAAAAGGGCGCATGTGCGCCGTCCATTAAGCCAAGAAGATGCATGCGTTTTTGATCCCAAATGGCGAACCCCAGCCGTCGGTAGGGGTCGAACGTGGTGTCAAACATCCAGCCCCCATCATGTTGCGTTACGACTCCAAAGTATATGACTCCAGGAGAGATTTGAAGGAGGTTGCTTCGCGTCTGACCCCAAAGAAAGCCTTCCGAGTGTCGAGGGACTTTCTGCTGTGCTCTCACACCTGGTGGTGGTCGCCGGTCTAGCTTGTCGCCATAGCCGTATACAACTGCACCCCATACTTTTTCGATATCGACAGGCATTTGCGTCTGAGGATTTAAAGACACTAAGTTGGCTCGTGGCCAAGGCATGCATTCGTTTCCGCTGAACTCCTGAAGATACTGCTTCACTGTGAGACACTCCTCACGCTCTTGTTGAGAACGTATCCGTCGAGCTCGGCGCTCCAAAATTCGATGACGATCATCTATGGTCTGGGCTTCTTCTTGCTCATCAGCATGTAGATCGTCAAGAATGTTTAGGCTACCCCGGTCTGCCCGTAAAAGTCGTAATATGTCATCAGCTGGCCAACCTCGCGCTGCTAATGTCCCGTCTGTGGCACTCTGTTGAAGATCGCATATGATCCGTATGGTCCATAGAGCCCGTGCAACTCGCATTTCCTCCACCCAGCTCGGTGGCCCGGCGTCAATTATGACATCGACGGGAGGATCAAGCACTTGTTTTGCGTGGCGTACCCTTTCAAGATAATAGTCAAGACACGTATGAGTCAGCACCGACAGATGTCGAGCGATCGCAATGACATCTCGTAGCACGACAGCAGGTGTTTCACGTGGGATACTACCTTGACCCAATGTAATAGGTGCCTTGCTGATTGCTCCAGGGAGCTTGCGATTACGCATGAAGCCGAACTGGAAATCTCTGAGTGAAGATATTGGCAGACGACCGGATCGTGTGAGCACCACTGCACGGACTAGCTCTTGAATCTCCTCTGGCAGGAGAGACTGTACACCTGAAAGAACGGATTCGAATACAGTAACTGCGTACTCCCTAAATGTGTGTAATGCAGTTGGAGATGCCACTAGCAGATTATAAAGGGTGTGCAGATCGGAAATGTTGGTCAAAATGTTGAGGAGGACCTCAGGAGCAAGCAATTCGAAGTTCGAAATCCACGCATCGTGGCTTGGGTTAACCTTCATGGTGCCCGGGTAATGGAAGCTTTATTGTACTTCAAATGATGTCCTTCTTTTAAAATAGACAGCGTGTTGTTTCAATGTCAGGACAAGGGAGGAGACTCGATGCGCTCGTCACTTGGAATATGAAGCTCGTCAGGAAGGAATGATGGTTATTGTGCCACTGTGCGTCCAGGTGATTTCCGGATTGGTGGCTGAAGACTCGCTTAGTAACCTCGCTAATTAATTCCCTCCTCATGGTAGCCTCAAACCGCTACCGATCATGGGTTCATAATTCAGGTGCTCTGCTCTCACAATATCTGTCTTATCAATGGACATGACGCTATCCAAATGTTTGGAGTAGTTCACGAACAATGTTTTCAAAAAACCCGACACTCATGACGCGGGCTGGCACGGTACGATTAGAACGATAACATCAAGCAACACAGGTGATGAGCACAATTCGTAGAGCATCATTTGCCAACAGTATCTTTCCGAGAGATAGATGTCACAGCAAGGCGGAAAACCAGGCATCAGTTAAAAGGATGGTCTTCAAATGAATGTACTTATGAACATATAGATGTCTCGATTCCAACAACCAGCGCACTTCTCCTCCTCCGGATACTCGTAGTTACATGATTGCACGGACGAGTGGTTCTTCAAGGATTAGGGACTATTCCTTGGCAGCAACCTTGGCGGATGCTTCATCTCGAGCCGCTCTGGCTGCGAGGCAATCGTCATCATCATCCTCACAGGGATCCCAGCATTCATCGTCGCAGCAGTCGTCCTCGCAACAATCATCCTCGCAAGGATCCTCCC